TTATATTGTTGGCCAGAAAACTTACCAGTTTGCATAAGTCATTAGTAACCCTAATTTGTATTGCTCCAGAAATGATATTCTGGCAGCTATGATCTTTACAGGTCAAGAGTTGTAAAAGGCTTATTGCCATTTTATTTGCTTGCTTCTAATTTTGTAGTCCTTGAGCAAAATCTTTATGAGGTTGGGTTTCCATCTCTAGAATGGAACTTACCTCAAGCATCTTTGTGTTTGGGGCACTGAGCTTCCTGCGTAAAGGCACATCAGATCTGAAGTATCATAAAGCCATGAAAGAACTCTTATGATAAGGAATCTATAATGATAAAATTGCATCCATTCATGAGTTTACCCAGCAGATATTTATAGAATCCTAGACAATATGCTGGGTGTACCTTGTCTTCTGCAGTGCCTTACCCTCTAAGTAGCTTTCTTTCAATAAAAAGTTCAGTTCTGAATACAAAGAGCATTAAATAAAAGTTTGATAGTAGTTAGCATATCTTTAGAAAGGATGAATCTGTCATTGATTCAGGGATATGAATTGTTTGAATTTGAGGAATTTTCCATAACTCTTGCAGCTTGGCTATGTGTGAGTTCACTTTGTGTCCATCTTTGATTCCCTCTGTAGGCAAGGACATTATTATGCAAATTTATGAGAAAGATCAGTTTAACAAATTAATTGTTAAGATCTATGTATTTACATGTGTCGATGATTATTCTGGAGTAGTAGCATGAGTCAAACTTAAGGAGATATATGCTATGCCATTTGGTTTTAGAGCACACAAAAATCTAAGATATTTATAAATATTCACTATATATGTTGTAAATCACTGCACATGGACAATGTTATTTTGAACTCTGCTGAGATGCAAACTTATACTTTTTCAGTTTACTGTATGTCAGATCATACTAAACAGGACTATACATGCAGTATTTGTATTTTAAAGATTTACATCAAAATTTTATCATTCATTTGACTTTAGTATATAGTTATAAAATTCTATTCTGTAATAGACTCAAGATAAAATAACACAATTGTAATGCCTTTAATGAGACAGTGTTAAAATGAAGGGCTTTGCAGAAACTTATTAAAACAATTTTTACATAATTTCAGTTATGTCATTGTTTTAAATACTTAAGTCTTTCAATACAAAAATGAAAGTTGAGACATATTCCCAGAAGAATGGAAACTAGTTTTCAGTTTCAGACATATTGAGACTAGTAACTTAATTTAGGGTAACAGATTAAGGAAAAACAATATCTGGCAAAATTTAGTCAGGAAATAACTCTTTGTTACACTTCCCACATTACCACACACCCACTCTCGCCAGGCAACCACTGATGTGCTATCACTATAAATTAGTTTGCATTTTCTTGAGCTTGATATAAATGAAAACATACAGTATATATATTTTGTTTGGCTTTTTCACTTAACATAATTAATTTGAAATCCAACCATGCAAGTGTAACAAAATTTCATTCCTTTTTAATATTGTCTTAAATTCCATCGCATGTATATAGATAGATAGATAGATAAGTAGATAGATAGATAGATAGATTCGATTATACGCCCACCTGTTGATGGACATTTGGGTTGTTTCCAGTTTTTGACTATTACAAATAGAGCTGGCAGAACAGATTTTAAGTTAAAAGTTTGTATTTAGTAAAGTGAATTAAATAAGTAGTTTTGTTCAATATTATTGATAACAAAGGCCACTATAATTTTACATATTAAAGTATAAATTTAGTTATTTCTTTAAGATTTGGGCAAGTCAGATAGTGTAGATAAGAGTTATATTTGCATTCTGAAGGACTAGTTTGTAAACAATAGAAAATCATCTGGAAATTATGACCCTTAAAAACCATAATTTGAAATCTGTAATAATAAAATAAATATCAAGCCAACGTTTTAAAGTCTATTTTTCAAAATCTTTTTTCAAGTCATAAACGTGGGCTAATTAAGACTATATGTCCCTGTTGACCCATATTTCTGAGATGCATTTCTCAAAAGCTTGATAGCATTTCTTTACAGAAAATGAAACATTTAAAAATAATAGTTAAACTCAAGAACAAACAATGCACTTGAAATATGGGCAAAGAACTTGAGACTTTGGCTATCTCCAAAGAATATACACAAGTGGCCAATAAGGGCATGAAAAGATGCTGTCACTAATCATTAGGGAAATGCAAATCAAAATCACAATGAGACACCTACTTCATACCCATAGAATGATGATCATCATCAAAAAAAAAAGAACCCCAATGTTAGCTAGGATGTGGAGAGATTGGAATCCTGTGAATTGCTGGTGGAATGTAAAATGGTGCAGCTGCTATGGAAATCGTATGGCAGTTCCTCAAATAATTAAATGTAGCATGCCATATGATTCAGCAATATCCATTTAAAAACAACAACACTATTTGTTTATATGTATTACATATATAAATGTACATACACACAGATAATCGCATGCGTGTTTATCATAGATAACTGTAAGGACTATAAATTTTCCAAGGAAAAGCAAAATGAATCCAGGTTTAGATATCATTTAATGGAAATTTTTGCCCCTGCCAAAATCAGTGAGAGACCTTTGGGGGCTCGTCTTACTCCCTTAACTCCAACAGCTCTATTCTTTACTTCAAGAGAAAGGAAAATAGCATCACTAGGAAATTATGTTCTTTGAAGTCGTTCCACTTAGAATTTTTTTCCTTCTATTTGTGTATAAACCCCAGGCTGTGCACTGTGCTATAACATCAGTTATAAACAGTTTTCAGATTCATTGCTATTTTGAAGTATTCTTTTTAAAATGCTTGATGTAAGATATCTTAACGAGAAACAAAGAACCTGCTGGAATGTTCTTTGAAAAATCTGAAAGACTAAGTTCGCCGAGGATGCTAATAAAGTCTATTTTTAAAACTCTATTGTGTGAGTAGTTATAGCAAAATTGAATTCTCTGAACTGTTATTTATAGGTATTATCTGCTTTATATGCTCTACTTACCTGTACCTTTGGAATTCTGGTAATAATGTCCAGTTGACCTGTTTTAAAAAAGGATGTAAATAATACGTAATAATTGACAGCTTTATAAGCATTAAATAATTTTAAATTAAAAAAACAGTATTGCATATGCTTTTTATTTTGCATGTTTCCTATCAGACAGAATATCTTGCAAATTTTCTCCTGTAATTCTGGTTATATTCTAATGGCTCCAGACATTTCCAAAGTGATCTGAGATTTCACCATACTAGACAGGATTTACTTTAAGCCAGATTTGGTCTGATTTTTATAGCCTCCTAATCTAATTCCTACAATGAGTTTAATAAAGTAGTTTGGGCTTCTGTGGTATCCCTAACACTTTCTTGTTCTCTTTATTTTTAATAAAGTAATTTGGCTATGGAAAAGACTATCTTGTTCTTCATTATATGTAATCGAGGTATACTGGATCTAAGTTGGTTTGGAATGTTTCTAATTTTGTACAAGTTCTTTTTTTCTTTTCTCAAATTAAGACAAAACTCCCTTCCTTCCCTCGTCCTTTGATTTATTCAATGAGCAGGAGTTCACTGATCTTCTGATGTACTAGCATCCAGCACTTCACTAAGCACTGTGATGAACAGAAAAGAAACACGAAACCCATCCCATCTATAAGAAGTCTTCGATTCGCTAGATACCAAAATAAAAAAAAAAAAAGATGGTCATGGGTGCAGCAGCAGCTAAGACTGAGCTGAATTGAAGAGGAACCCCCGGCAGCTCCCGCTTTCAGGGAATAACAGATGAAACGGATGAGAAGGTACTGCCTATGGCAGTGACTTCAACAGCTAATTGTCTTCAGTATCTTGGAAATGAGTAAAAACCTGCTCGAAATAAATGAATTTCTGTGTGAAGAAAATGCCCGAATCAAGGTGCCTCTAATATTCAGTCAGCTGTTTCATTGGCGATTACGGATTCGCATTTGACATAAAAGTCGCTAATGTCACATACAGGGAGCTGATTTGTTGATTGAGAAGCCCTCGGTGGAGCCGGGTGGGTCTGTTCCCACATTCTCTCCTGCTCTCCCAGCTCCGCTTACGCAGACACCCTGTGGCCAGACCGAAATTTTTCCAGCAGGTTTCGCAGCGCCCCCTCGAGGGAGAAAGTCGCACGCACGCAGGCGACTGTCGCAGTTTACTTTGCACCAAACCTTCCTCCTAGGAAGCCCTAACCCTAAGCAGTGAATCGGCTTCTATATTTCCCATCCCGGCCACAACATAGTTTTTCCCCGCCTCTCACTTCAGTGCACTGGGAACCAGTCTATCCAAGCAGCCAGCTCGCAATCCCTCCTCTACAAGGGAATATCGACCCAGGGCCGGTCGCCGTCCTCCCTACTCCCTCGGGGTCCCGCAGCCTCACCCGCCGTCACCCTCGGTCCTGGCCACCGTAGGCGGCTCTACGGAAGAGCTGTACTCCCTTCAGTCGGACACCGGACCCTGGCCGGGCATCTCGTCCGGGGAGCCCGGACCACGAGCTGTGTGCTGGAAAACTTTTCCCCTCTTCCCTTCCCTTCCCCCGTAAGCACGCGTGAGTCAGGCCTGGCAATATTGGGAGTGAAGAGGCGGACGCCAGATTCTAGGTCCCTCCGATGCGCTCCGGACACTGTCCGAATAGCTTCGGGGGAGCAAGGAGGACAACTCCACCATCCTGGAGTTAAATGGGGGAGGGGCGAGAGTTCTTTAGTTGATGGCACGTTTGCATCTTTTTGTGGAAGGGATGCGTCACAGAAAGGAAATACACATGCCCTGTAAAACAGCAGGTTCCTTCCTCCACGGTATTCCAGACTCTCAGCGAATTTGCAAATCTTGAGCGTCATCACATAAGTCAAACATCAGTGCGCAAACTAAGGACCAAAGCACCTGGCACAGGAATGCAGAGTGTCATCCGTTATCCGTTATCACCAAGGCAACCAGGCTTCACCAGCTTCCCAACCGCCGCTTTCCGCCCACTACTTTTGCGCACTCGCCAAAAACCTCCCTCCCTTCCGGGTGTTTTCTCGGGAAGCGTTTCACGCGGGGGTTGGCCCGCGGGGCGCTCCGTAATCGGAGGTGTGGCAGAACAGAAGCGGTAAACAGAATTCGGATTGTGATTGGTTCGCACGCCGCGTTCCCGGAACTCAGCGGGCGTCGCGCGAAGGCTGAAGGGAGCGTAGCAGTCGCCTCTCGGTAGTTACTGTGCGGCGGGCGGCACTGGGGTCGCGGAGAGCCGACATGCCTCGGTACGCGCAGCTGGTCATGGGCCCCGCAGGCAGCGGGAAGGTGAGCACTTGGCGAGGGAAGTCGGAGTTCGTGGGAAGCAGGGAAGTTCGGGTCCTTGGGAGGTGGGGGCGTGGGATGTGGATCGCTCCTGCCGTCTGTGCTTGTGTCTTTTTTTGTTGTTTTGAAACAGGAATGATAGTTACTAATGTTTATTTTCTACTTATGCTCAAGATACTATGCAGAACGCCTCATATATTTCCACAACAACCCTATGAGTCCTATTATTCCAATTTTACAGATAAGGAAAATGAGACTCAGAAAAGTTAAATTCTTTGTCCAAGATCACAGCTAATTAAGTGGCGGCTGGAATTTGAATCCAATTTTGTCTAACTCCAGAATCTGGCTCTGTCTCGCTACCAGGAGGTTAAAGTGGGTCTCGTCACTTTCTTGGAGCTTGAAACATGGACTTCTGGTATTTGAGACGATTTTAAGAAGTACATGGGCCTGACATTAATGAACATTGAATCATGTATTGAGAAAGTTGCTCCTTTTTCCATTCTTTCTATTTATATTGAAGTGAAATTGTCAGTTTGATGCTAATTTGTCTTCAACGCTTATTTAAATTCCCCTGTCTTTTCAGAGAGCAGATCTTAGACTCAGAGCTTTTGACAGGCAATTATATTTAGCTGGAATGGAAAGAGTTGTAAACTTGTATTTAATTTTATGGATATGTTCTTGTTATGATTAACGTAACTGGTTTTCTGCTTACAATAGCGATAGTTTTTCTTGTAAACAAATATTAAGCAGAAAATGTTAGGGGTATTCAAGTATGGTAGAAATGGTGAAGATAATGGTCAAATAACACGAGTGTGGGAAACACTCAAGTCTGGAGGTGTTGTGTGGCTTCAGTCTTTAAATGAATGTTCTGAGGCTGCCCTCATCTGGATGCAGGAGTTATAGACATGATTGTGATATGGTCCTTGCTTATCCATTATGTATGTGTAAAATCACTAATCAGAAAGAATGATAGAGTTTATTTCTATATTCTAGATTGCTTCCCAGACTGATTGTGTTAGAAAGTTTCTTTCTCTAAATGTTTGATGCCTGCTATCAGAAATACTTATTTTGTGCCAGGCACTATTCTGAGCCCTGAGGATTGTGTTATTGACAAAACACATACACACGCACACAAAAAATCTCTGTCCTTGTTGAGTTGATATTCAAACATTAAGTCAGTTGGTCAGAAGTAATTATCAAGCATTTACTATGTACCAGGTACTGTGCTAGTCCCTGGGCCATGTATGAGTTCTTTTTTTTCATATAACAATGATGTGAGGTAGGTAATATTATTGCCGAGTTTCTGTGGATGAGGGAACTGAAGCACAGAGTGTTGAAATAACTTCCTCAAGGCCACTTAACTAGTAAATGGAAGACAC